AAGAAGAGACGATTTCTAGGACCAAGGTGTATTTTGGCTGACGTTTCAAAAGGGTACTCGCTTCCATCGTCAGAGCGTGGTTTCTGTATTCCTGTTTGCATCAGATGAATGCATCCGACCATTAGCCTTGCTTAATGCCCCCGTGTCAATCGACTGCACCTTCATCTCGCTTACCAAGCGCTCCGCAGAAGGCTAACATCGGCTCAGAACGGAGCAATAGGTCGGACGGAGAGAGATAAGCAGAGCCGACAGCCGGCAGCCACGAGCAAAGAGGGTGGAAACGCTCATGAGACACAACAACAACTTGACACAGCTCATGAAGACGCCCGTGAGGGCACGAGAAATTCAAACAGACACAGAAATCGATCGGTGCAATCGATTGACACAGGGGCATTAAGCGAGGCTAATGGTCGGATACATTCATCTGACGCGAACAGGAATACAGACACCACGCTCTGACGATGGAAGCGAGCACGCTTTTGAAACGTCAACCAAAATAAAACTTGGTCCCAGAAATCGTCTCTTATTCTTCTTTCCCTTCCGGGGATGATGAAAGGAGTATAGCGTATACTTTTGTACGGCGAGCCGATTTTGCTTTAGAACAGTGGACGCGATAGTCATATATTAGTTTTAAGTGAGGTGTCTGTGATTTTTTAACATGGGCGTGACTGGCAGGTCAACAACTAAATTCCACAAAGTACCGACGCTTCTAATCTCCGCGTAGTTGGCGTGGAGATTGGCAGACATTTTTCAGTGTTCATAACGCTAGTGTTCGTTCACATACACTGCGGAAATTGAAGTAGCAGTAGGCATACTGGCGGAAACTTACTGAAGGGGAAGAGACAGCGGAATGATCATTTTTAGCTCATTTAATACCCCAGCCAGTCATTAATAGGGTCTCATTCATCCAAGGTGTTGATGAACTGAAGATTTGAACGCGGGTGCAGTGGGTCACAACGACTTCCGAATCCAATACCTCACCTGTAACCTTTCACACATCAGTTTTATCGTTTGAACTACTATTAACTGCTTATCACTAGCTAGGCTATATCTGAAGTAATTTTTATTTCGATATGCATTCTGACTTGTCTTCCTTCTTGGCTTGTTCGTTTTCACACAAAGCACTATCTGTTTGTGTCATTTAAAAAACCTGTAGTCTGTACGCCGACGTTGCAGGTCCTCTCCGCGATATGCTAATCCTACTCGTTTACACGATAGGATAAGACTTTCTTTTGACACTGTTTTGGACATTGGCTGTTTCGATTCTGGGGAATGAATTAGCGCTGTATTAGGACAATCTGGCGAAGCTTACGCTGATCATATCTGTCGAACAACATCCGAACTATACAAACTAACAGAAAATCGGCATGCGCCGCGTTTTGGAGGCATAGGGGAACGCAAAAATGGAGAATTTTGCCCTAGAGCTGTTCATTTTTCCCAGCCTAGTCCAAACTTATTGGATGAGGCGAAACGTAATTCTTCAGAGGAGAAAAGAGATGCATAAGGGTATATCCTCGATAGTGTCACCAGAGGGTTTATAGTTGTCTTAAAATCGTACCCAATTGATCGCTATCAATTTGAATTTTATTGAAGATAGTTGCCAACAATGCATGGCTGAACTTAGCCTGTCTCGACTCGGACTGGCAATCACAGTCCGATAAAAATTCTACCACTGAAGCTGTCATTTGTAAAGCAAGCGAGCACAGCAGGATTTATTTGTACAAATAAATTTCGGGACAGCCTGTCAGCTGCTTCCTGTCTTTGCATGAATAAGATAACGAATAAAGAACACAGAAGTTTGAATTTTCACACAATCAATAACACTAAGGGCATTTTAACGCATCGAATAGTCAATAATTATGTCGTTTTTAAACTTGGAAAGGAAAAGTAGGGACGGGGATTAAAAAATAAATGTGGCTATCCCTCATGTTGCATTCAAAAATACAGCAGTTCTTCACGGCCGAAATCTACGAAATAGTCGGTTCAGAAAAAGCTTATTTTTATATCTTTACCCTTTGGGGGTGACAATATTTCAAATAAAATTAAGCGACGGTTACGTTGCACCATAGAGAGAACGTAAAATGCAGCTGATTTAGTTTTTACCACTCCCACTAAAAGCCTTCCAGTTATCAGGACAAAGGATGTCTTGCCTTTGCACGCCACCCCAAACTGTGTGAATGAACTCACGTGCACTCACGTGCAAATACATTGGCCGTACGCAAAGGCAATTAGCAACCAGGGGCGCTAGAAATTTGCCTGCTTGGCTTTTAAAACAAGAAAAAAAAGTGTCCCGGTCCTCCATTAAAAAACACATGCTAGACAGTGGTCAATCTGTTAAGCTCAACACATCTTTCCGAGTTCTTTTTCGAGCACGAACAAACCGGACCTCGCGCTACATGGAATCAGCCTATATACGGCGGGAGAAACCCGACCTATGTAAGCAGTTAGACTATGTGGCTAAGCTCCAACTGCCCCGGTAATCGCATGCATGTATTTAATCAACCTTTTATTTTGTAAATTATCGTCCCTACTTTTTCTTCTCAAGTTGAAAGACGACATTACTATTGACCTTTCGCCGCGATAAAATGACTTTGCTATCACTGATTCTGCGAAAATTCAAACTGTTGTGTTCTCCTTTTGTTATCCTATTCATGCAAAGAGAGAAAGCAGTTGACAAGCTGTCGCGAAATTTATTTGTACAAATAAATCCTGCTGTGCTCGCTTTCTTTAAATGTGTACCTTGGAAATAATGCTTTGAAGCTGCCACTGTCAGCAAAAACAGAGCGCCTGCTAGCAAACCTACCTTGTTGTTTTGCCCTGACCGTAGAGAGCCTGCTGAATGAGAGGCGGCAGAAGCAGGATCTCGAAGGTTCGATGTTTTTGCAACCGGCTGGCGATAGCATTTACCTCTCTCACCATGGGCATCATTTCAATGAGCTGCTGTCGCAGAATGTATCGATCTAAATCCGGTGTAAATGCAAAACAAGAACCGTACGAAGGAAATGGCAGCAAAACAGGAATGATATACTGGAAGGAGAATTGTGCCTTGTGCTACAAGAATACAAAAAACTGACACTGTCTCCCAGTCGAGTTCGAGAGGTTGGGATCCTATTAGAGCCCAGTTTTTTCCGAGATTAGGCATTACTGGAGAAGAGTTTAATAAGTGCAAAGCCGAAACCGAAGGTATTGGACCTCAGGTGACAGTAAGCCGCCGTGTGATGCAACCTAAGGACAAACTAACCCCTACTGAAACTTCCACAATTGTCTATAAGATACGCTGCAACGATGGAGACTGCAATCACGTTGGAGAAACAGGACAAAAATAACAGGCCGGCCTACGCAAACACAAATTGGCGGCTTGGTCACTAGATTTAAACTTGCAGCTTGCCGTACATATTGGAGAGACTGGCCAAACCTTCGATATTCAAGAAGCGACCACTGTAGACAGAGGCGCCTCAGAAGCGGAAACACTGACGCTTGAGACATGGTACGCAGATGCCAACTCCTTCAGCGGGCATCTTGATCGTCCCGCAGCCTACAAGGTCCTACGCCGTTAAGTGAGTAAAGGCTAGGACAAGATCACATTGAAATTCAGAAATGTAAGCGAAGACTGTCCTGCGAAGAACCCAGTGGAATAAGAGGTAGGATTACCAGCATCTTCTCCGTGGAGACGAGGCAAAACACCAACTTCCGTCAAACTATGCCAACATACACACGAAGGATAGGGAGCAAACGAGAAAAAAATAGATTATTCCACAGTTGACAATTACACTCACACCTTCAAATTGCTGATCGGTAAGGACAGTTTTACAAAGGGCCGGCCCAGCTTTTTGAAACGGCGAGCGCAAACGTTTGTTCAGACTCTTATCACGGATACTTTTTTGTAAACTTGAGTATGTACGCCACAGTCTCTGTGACAGGGCGGTCCCCGTTCCCTAAGTAAAGAGTGGGACCTCTGATTTTCACAAATCGAAGAATGTTCTAGTAGTTTCCCTAACTCGGAAAAGTTCATCCCCCATTCCGAAATGTGAGTTTAATAAGAGGTGCACGGTAGTACAGATCACCTTGACCTTAATTACGAAGTTAAGTTACAGTTGAGGGAGAGCGTTAGCCTTATAATGGTTCGAGTTTTGTTAGATATGTGAGAGGAAGTGTTAGGTTTGCAGTTAAGGTTAGCGTACCGTGGGAGTACTTTTGCCAGCGTGTAAACGTTACTAGAAAAGATAAAGGCTTTGGAATGAAACCCTGTAAAAAATTTTATTACAAAGAAGTACTTCAGTAGTATGTTTTAGGTAGCCTGATTTTTTAATCTGATTTTAGTTTTCCTGACAATTCCTAACTTATTTAATAGAAGGGATGCGCAAAATATCCCTCATTGAATTCATGACGTAGAAAATAGCGTGGTCGTCAAGTTTTGTACATGAACAAAAGGTGTTTTAAGATTTTGTTCTTAAAAAAACGCTTCAATCCAGAAAAACTCTTTAAATTGACCTACCTTTATGCTAGCGTTTAGGAACTTCGATCTATAAGCCGTTAACTTTCCAATTAAAAAATCAAGTATTTCTCTATGGTGCTAAGAATGCCGTATTGAAATACTAATAAGGTTTTCACGAGGAGCATTCATGAACGGGCGGATACGATTCTCGGAAGATGTCTCTAAAAATCTAGACTATTGTAAACAATTTTACAACGTGTCTTTGGATGAAAAGTGTGAGGAATACGTAATTTACAACACAATAAGTACAAGAAAGAGCGCCTCTGTGTGTATGTGCATTAGATACCATATTATATATGCGTGAAGCGTCAAAGGCTAGGCATCGTGTCATGTTTATCAGCTCCCAAAGAAAACAAAGAAGAAGATGGGACGAATGAATGGGCCGAAGTGTATTTGGACTAAAGCCTGGGACAATCTGTCGATTCTGTCATGAGAATAGTTTCGTAGCTCTTACTGTTGGCCTTGAGTGCTTCAGTCCGCTGTGGATGGAGGTTGTTTCAGCAACGCCCCCTCCCACCTCCTGTATCATATTATGGCAATAAACGTGCCACAGATGGATTGACAGCCGCCCTTTCGAAAACGTCTAACTAGTGTCCTCGGTTAATTAGTTTGTTCATAAAAAATTGTAAGTGCGATTTAAATTCACACCCATCGGCCTAAAGAAACCCTCGAAAAATACATGAATACACTAGATGTCCGCTTTTTACAGAGCAACCGGAAAAAAGCGGCCTTGATAGCAGGCAAAATATATTCGTAATTCAGCAGGAGTTCAAGGCACTGCTGAATTCCATCTTTCCTGACATCCAGTTCACTATTGAAGAAGAGGACAACAACCAATGACCCTTCCTCGAGGTACAGGTGACGAAGCCGGAAGACGGGAGGATAAGGACAACGGTTTATCGTAAGGCAACCAACACCGTGCGCATCCTCTACTTCAGAAGCAACCACCCTGTTGGGCACAAACGCAGTTTTGTTAGGACTCTCTTCCAACGCGTTCAGACACACTGCAGCGACGACAGTGGAAAGAAGAAGGAGGTTAAATACTTGT